TAAAAGTACAAAGATTGAACTTATAGACTTTGTTTCAGGGTATTATTCTCTGAAGTAGAAATTCATCCTAAATGCTATTCCACATATCTGCATTTGAAATGACCTGAAACAAACATGGCAGAGGCGCTAGTGCTGTAGCCAGGACCGGCTTACTGGCCATCAGACTTACAGACTCTTACAGTCAGCATCTTTCTATCTTCGGCCTTAGTAGAATCAACACCAGTTGGGAAATTGTTTTGTTGGTGATGTTACAAATGTTGGTGATGCTGCTCTACTCCCCCAAACCGCTGTCACTACATGTCTGTGGCCACATGATGACAGATGTAGCTACCAACACGCCCAGTGATACAGAGAAATTAGTACACCCATAAACTAGTGCCAAATCCATTAGAGGTTTTCACACTTAGCCGAGATAAAGCTGGGGCGAACAAATAAGGTAATCTATGGGTGTGGGGTTTTTTTTTTTTTTACTTCCTCTGGCTTCCTGTGGGGTGGGGGGTTTAATTTATGCAACTTCTGACTGTACTGCTGTCTCTCTTGGGCAGGACACTCTTTTAAAGATGTTTTTAATCTCAGTTTTTTTTTTACTGGTTAAATAAAGATTAAATAAAAGTCCTCACACGGTTGTGGTGGTTTTCGTCCTTCAGATCTGAGGCTACACTGCTGATAAAAGTCTCTTACCTTCGTTCCATTGTTGTACATGGCCAGCATGCAGAGCATATGCAGGGTGTGCCCACATTTGATGAATTTTCCCACAGTGTCTGGCTGGATGCTCTGGCCTCCCTCCTCTGTGGATGGGGTCTCGTAGCCAGATGGGTTGGACAGTTGGTCCATGCAGATAATACAGTCCTGAAGGTACATGAGATATCTATGCTCAGAGCAAAATTACACAACACAAACTCACTTCACAGAAACTTATTTACCATTCGGCTCAACAATCACTATCGAACAAGACAGCTGAGATAAAACAATTTTTGTGCTGCATTCAGTTTTGAATTGTGGTTCTCTATTAAGTCCAAACTCAGTGTTTAGTTAAGCTTGAGCCGAGACAGCAGAAAGTCTTTTGGTCTAGGAGGACACGCAGAAACAGCTACAGGTGTTTGATTTGGAGTAACCGAATTGGGAACATTAGAGAGACAGCTCAGGTTGAGCTTTGGAAAAAAAGTTAGAGAGACATGATTGAGATTGTTTGGACATGTGCACAGAGGAGGGATGGTGGGTATACTGGGCAAAGGATGGGAAGAAAAGAAGACGACCACAGATTTCTGGAGTGACAGAGGAGGATGCTGTGGTGTGATGATCCGCTGTAGCAGCCGCTAAAGGGAGGAGCGCTAAGGAGAAAACAAAGTCTGGGAATAATTCCCAACCAGATTATCTCTTATACTCTTCAAGTTAAAGACAATTTGCGTGGACATGTTATCAGACGTGGGGCTTGAACCAATGTAGAAGTGGTAAAGGGTTATTTACTCGAATTACATTTAAAGATGATGGAAATCCAGTAACAAAAAGACTGATGTTGAGTGTTTAATGGCTAATTGTGTAAAATATTTTTGACCTCAATACTGACCAAAAGAATCATTCATCCGATTCATGCAAGAATTGTTCATCAAAACAATAAATGAACTTTTCTTTCATTTCTAACAGATCTGGGAGTAGACGGGGGAAACACGGAAACATTTACCTC